CTTGAGACCGCAATAAACCCATCACAAAAAAGTTTACTGATGATGTAAAGAATAATTTCTTTGAAAATGTTGTGAGAAGAATTCTCCAGGCACTAGATAAATTAAAACTGTTACTTTGAAGTAAACAGAATTATAACAAAAATGATCATCAATGAAAAAAACTGTGAAAGCAGAGAAAGGTGATGTGAAGATCTGGCTTAACTCAACTGCTCCTCCTAGTGTCAGTAACTGTTCTTACCTTCCTGTAACATTTCTGAACAACTGGTAAAGAAACTGAAAGCTCCCACTTACTTGGAAATATATTATTATTTTAGAAAATCTTAGATCAACCTAGAATAAGGTAGAGTAGAAAACAGGGCATTTTGGTTTCTTGAGAAGGCCAGTTGATTTAAATCTTAATGGTAACCACTTAAATATAACAAGGAGATTATGGTAGAGAACGACCAACCTAAACAACAGTGATATTTGTTATTCCTCTAAATCAGCGGTTCTCAACCTGTGGGTCGCGACCCCTTTGGGGGTCGAATGACCCTTTCACAGGGGTCGCCTAAGACCATCGGAAAACAAAAAGATACTTACATTACGATTCATAACAGTAGCAAAATTACTACTTATAGAGTAGCAACGAAAATAATTTTATGGTTGGGGGTCACCACAACATGAGGAACTGTATTAGGAAGGTTGAGAACCGCTGCTCTAAATATTTTAAATACATTTTCTTTTATGCACATGTAATAACTATTTAGCAAATCATCTTTAAAATATATATTGGAAGTTATCAAATTAGATAAAGTAGTCCAGGAAAGCTCAAGAACATAAAGTTAGGAAACATTTCTAAATCTTCTAAATCAGGGCTTGTGACTGACTCTGTTGATACATTCAAACACACACAGGTAAATGTTTTCTTCTCTACTCTTGTATCTCCATAAAGGTAGCTTCCTTAGAATGGCTCTGTGTTGATCACATATTTTAAAGTTTTTTTTTTTTAATTCTTAGGAAACATCCAGTTGGATTTAACTAACAAGAAGGATTATAAGGAGAACTAGAGCATGTGGGAGGAGCTAGCAGGGCAAGGTTGACCTGTATCTATTCAAGTCTGTAGACGGGCTCTGCTTTATCAGCGACGAGCTGTGCTTTCCAATCTGTCTTCTGTGATCTGGGTGGTTTATCCTTAGTTTTCTTTTTGCTACTTTCAGACCTCGAAAATTGTTCAGCTGTTAAAAAGTTCCAAAACAAGCAAATGTGTTCCTGGAATCCTACCCTTAGCTTTGCTGGAGAACATATACTAAGGCTTCTTCTCCAGCCAAAATAATAAAAGATCTTTAAAGTGGCTGAAATTCTTGGTTGATTGCACATACATGCCAATGTCAGACAACTATAAATAGAGGGATCTGGAAGAAAAATAGGGAGAGTCTGTATAGCTCCAAAGAAATAAAATAGGAAGTTTTGAAGGCAGTCAGAAAACAGTACATGTATTTATAAAGTGAAGATTTTTATCCCTTTAGTCTAAAATCCCCTTTGAGTAGGAAGAGCCCACCCAGATCATGTACTTCCAATATAAGGGAATAAAACAACTTTCTTTTCTTTACTAATATATGTTTATTATTCTCAATCCTATAATTAAGTTTTCTTCTTTATATTATCCTTTTGAGTTTATATAGCTGCTAGATCTTTTGATATTTTTTTTCCCATCAGTGCTTTGTTTGCCCAGAATACTAAAAAGTCCTTTAAAGGATAAAACTGTGCCTATGGTTACTGATATAAATGAAGTCAGCAGGGAATTGCCTGGGTTACCTGGGGCAGATTTGGTCCCAAAATAGTCTGGGTCACACGTTAGTTACAGCTGTTCAAAGAGACTTGAGGATTCATTTCTCAAGAAATTCTTACTCTCTTAGGAGGGTTAACATATCCACTTGCTTTAATAGGTGAGTTAATATATATTTTCAAAGATATTGTTACTTAATTTTGAACAGTGACTTACTTCTTTATATTAACCTACCCATCTTTTATTAACCCATCTAAGTTGAATTCAAATTGGTTCTTGCAAATGAGTTCACTCTATTTTGAACCTATTACTGCTGTACAGGAGAATTTACCAATTGCTTCAGTTTTACAATTGTGCTGTTGACAAACAAATTAGGTAGCAGCAATGGAAAGCCAGCACTTGCTTAATAGTGTTTAAATGCAGTTCTTCCGAATCTAGACCTCACTCTGAAGTGAGAAACGTTGAAATGTCAATGAAGGTTGCAAGGTCACAAGTCCATTTGGAGGAAGAATCAATAACAAAATTAATGTCTCTGAATTCTCAGTTCTCTCTAAATTGCATTGGGTTCGAACTGGCTAGAGGCTATAGCTTGGCTCTAAGGATTCAGTATGTAACACTGGGATACCAGAAAGTAATATTTTTTTATAATATTTTTAGTGATGATTTTATTACTCAGTGTTTTCTGAAATAAATCCTAAGGCAACATAAATAAGACTTAGAAGGACTTAAAAATAGCATGGTTCTAAACAAGTCATGTTTATAATTTAAAATTTTTACCTCAGGCTCAGCTTTTAATATTTTATCTAAAATGTTTTAAAAGTAGTCTAAGGTTGGGATTCAGTTTATTAAATAACTTTGAATTAATTCTAATTTTTTTAAAAAGCATATGTGATGGGAGAAATGTTAAGAAATCATTAACTACAATTCTATCAACTGATTAAAAAAACTCTACATGAAAATGTAATACTTCCTTCAGTATTTTAGACCTTGTTTTTGGTAGAAAATTTGTAAGTCCTTTGTTCATGGAAAATGCAACAACAAATGAAATATCTCTAGAGTGGTATCTTAAAGAGAAACTGTGTTCTTACTTTGTGAAAAATAATATTCTGAAGAATTCTTATTTGCCCTCAAAAGCACGTTTACTCATATCTAGCATCTTTTAAGAAATTTTTAGAGAACTGAGCACAGTGCACATAGTTTTAAAAATTTCCAAAGCAGCACTACCAGAGGATTGCACATCCTGATTTTTGTCAATGCAATTAACTACTTTTGTTATGACATAATCAAAACCTCTCAGAGAAAGAAAAGCATCAAATGGTCATACTGAAGATAAACAATGCAAAGCTTGAATATTACTTCAATTTTCTTTTTCTTTTTGGAAGCCATGAAATAACCTGGTCTCTCCTGGGATAAAGTAAAGGAAATGGACAAAAGTATCTTCTCTGAGAGGCATCCCACTAGTAACTATGAAATGGTTGAATAAGAAAGGCCATTCATTGGGGCATATACAGAAGGTGCCAAAAAATATATACACATTTTAGAAAGGAAAACTGTATTAAAATTGCAATAATATATACCGATAACAAAAGATGAATACAAGTCACGTTTGACTTCTGCAATTACAAGAGGTGATCGAAGTGGTTACCATCAGTGTCCAGACACTTCTGATTATGGCGAACTACTGCTTGAGCAGCGTTGACTAAAGTGTCCACTTGTATACATTTTTGGGGCACCCCCGGTATGTCAGAATACCTATGATGGCAGGTGCTCAACAGAAGTTGCTAAAATAAACAAATGGAGTGGGCCAGGTGTAAATGGTGAGGGGTCATATCCACAAGACAATGGAAGAAATATCACAGCATTGTCCACAGACCTCCCCCCTTTTTTTGTAGATGATTTTAAGTGGATAAGAATTGCCATATATATTTTCCATATATAATTTGGAGGCCATTCTAGCTATGTCCCCCTGAAGGAAGGAAATTGAGAGGAAAGTGGAGGAGGGTGAGGTTAAAAGGGTGAGGAACACACGCAGAATGTTCCAGGCAAAGAGCATGCCTCCCTACATATCAGGGAGACTCTAGATATTAAGAATTGACTCTTCAAATGGCAAATGCAGAGCCTCATATTACACAAAAATAATTATACCAGAGTGTTCTTCTAAGTATGAATTGAATAAAACTAAATTGCCAAATTTTCCAAATAAACCACTGTAGAATTTAATGTATTTATTCCATGAGTTCCTCACAATAAACTGTCTACTGTATCTACTGACAGCATTGACTAAAGCCATTTTTATTATAAAAAGGTTTTTTCTTACTTTTTATTTTCATAACTGATGATATCTAAAATTAAAATGTCATAGCAGGAAAAAGTGAGACAGTAACACTAAATTCCCCATAGACTAAATTTTGTTTAGACTAAATTTTGTTACGACAAATTATAGTTTATCAAAGTAGTTCCAGTTACCTTTTTACCAGCATAATGCTTGAAATGTGATACCCTCAACAAAACTAGTGACTCAGTTATTCTGCTTTCCAACTTTTAATGATTTACTAACAGGTTGGCTTGCAATAAAAGACCTCTGAATAAATTGAGAAACTCAGATCTACAGATTTCATCAAATTTCGAAGCCAATAAATAAAACTATTTCAACAAATTCAGATGAGAGAATAGAAATTAAATAAATGGAGTACATATAGTTCAAGTGGTCTATGTATTTAGTTTCCCAATAAGGCTTAGGGGGAAAATAGGAAATTGAAAAAATCTGAAAGATCAATTTTATCTAGCTCAAAGGTTGTCATCAACTTTATTTAGATTAGAAAGTCAGTCATTATATTGTACTTAATAAATGCTATTTTGCTGATGCTAAAATATTTCTTGGACTCTAGTTACAAGAAGATTGAGCACAATGAGTTTTAGGATTTACAACTCTGATGCAATGCCATGTTGCTCTAGGAACCCAAACTCATACAACAGTGTTGGTTCGGGCTGAACACAGTAGCTAGCACACAGTTAGGGCTTAATAACTGGTTAATGGTTAAATGAATGGATGAATGAATAATTGGATGAATAAATAAAAAGAATGTCATGACAACTTATCAGGAAACTTTTAAAAATTGAGAGGTGGGGGGAGAGGGGGGAGAGAGGGAGAGAGAGAGAAAGGGAAGGAGAGAGTGAGAGAGAGAGAGAGAGAGAGAGAGAGAGAGAAACAAGTACCATCTGTATAAGGACTTACTTATTCCATGCTTGTCTAAGATTTTTAGAGCTGTACAGGGTAAAGCGTTCTGAAATAAAAAAGAAAAAATGATAAACAATCTTTTTTTCAAATGTGTAAATTGCAAACATGTTTTTTAAAAAATCAACTCTTAAAAAGACAGTGTTTGTTTTAGCCGTATTATGCTAGCCACAGTAGGTCTTTACCTTTAGATTGGGCAGTTACAAAGAGTAAAATAAGAAGCTCTTAACATTTTAAATAATGGAGCATTATTTTCTTTTGTCTAGAGTGATTTGTTTCATAATGTGGTTTCCTAGTGATTATTTCTTAGAATAACTAAGTTTTACTTGGGTGGGTGGGGGGAATGCAAATTATAAACCTCCAAACTGTAAGTAGATTTATGGGAGAATACTGATACATCAGTCAAGTGTTTTCTCTATGAAAAAAGATATCTCTGACCAAATACAGTACTGTTGGCCCTCCTTTCATACACCATATGGTATTTACGCATGTGCAAAGCCAAACGACCAACGTCTTATAATGTACATTTATTTTCATTTATCATTGAACAATCTTTGTTATATTTTTAAAATTAAAACATAACATTTGTTTTACCAAGTTAAACAAAAAAGTGGTAGAGAATAGACATTGATAATCTCTCCTGTTCCCATTTCTCACCCCTGATGATATAGTAATTGTTAATGTCTTGGTATGTCTCTTTCCACATATTTCTTATGTTAATAAACACAAACCCATCCATATACACAAATATATATAGTATTTTAAGTTTTTAAATGGCTTGTACAATACATATTCTCTGAAAAAATTTTAGGCATTTAATAATATAAGCCTTCAAATCAAGAAAATAGGTGTAACAATTATTTTAAAAAAACTCTATTAATATTCTATAGGATAGCAGTACCATAAGTTATTTGACCATTTCAAACTGATGAAAATTTAGGTAGCTTCCAGTTCCTTTTACCTTAAAAACAATACTTTCATAAATATCCTTGCACATCTATCTCTATATACTGATGCTTTCATTTCTGTTGGATAGATATCCCAATATAGTTGGTCGTCGGGAAAGTCATGATGCATTTTTGCATTGAAAAACATAGAAAAATATGTCACGACTTTCCTGAGGACCCAACAGAACTGCTTGGCAAATGGTATGCACATTTTACATTTAAACAGATGCAAACAAGTTACTTTTCATTTTCCCACAAGCAATGAAAAAACAATGTCTCTTTTATAGAATGCATCCTGGGATGTAACGATGTTTCAACATATGCAAGTCAAAAAATATATAATGTTAATAGAATAAAAGATAAAAATCACACAATCATCTCAAACAATGCAGAAAAAATATTTCACCAAATTCAAAATCCATTCATCATAAAAACTGGATATAGAAGGAAAGTACCTCTCAATACAACAAAGACCATGACAACCCATAGCTAATATCATACTTAATGGTGAAAGGTAGGAAGCTTTTCCTCTAATATCAGGAACAAGACAAGGGTGTCCACTCTCACCACTCGTATATAACATAGTACTAGATGTCTGAGCCAGGGAAATAGGCAATAAAAAAATAAATAAATAAAAAGCATCCAAAATGGAAAGGAAGAAGTAAAATTGTCTCTGTTTGCAAATGACATGATATAGAAAATGTTAGAGTTCACTAAAACAACAAATTCAGTAAAGCTGTACAACACAAAATCAATGTACAAAAGTCAGCTGTGTTTCCGTATACTCACACAAATTATTCAAGAAAGAAAAAAAGAAAACAATACTATTTCCAATAACACCTCGGCCAATAAAATAACTAGGAATAAATTTAACCCAGGAAGATCTGTACACTGAAAACTATATAAGATACTGATGAAAGAAAGGGAAGAAGAGACAAATAAACAGGAGATATTTCATGCTCATAACTGAAAGAATCAATGGTTGGTAAAATGTTCTTACTACCCAGACATTTACAGATTTAATGTGATCCCTATCAAGATCCAGTGGCATTTTTTTTATAGAAATAGAAAAAAAAATCCTAAAATTCTTATGAACCAGAAAAGACCCTGGATAGTCAAAGCAATCTTGAGAAAGAATAAAGCTGGAGGTATTATACTTCCTGATTTCAAACTGTATTACAAAGCTACAGTAATTGTAACAGTATGGTACTGGTATAAAAAAAGACACATAGACTAATGGAACAGAATAGACAGGCCAGAAATAAACTCATGCATATAAGGTCAATTAATATTTGAAAAGAAGCCAAAATACTCAATGCAGAAAAGACAGTCCAGTCAATAAATGGTGCAGGGAAAACCGGATATTCACAATAAAAAATATGAAACTGGACACCTGTTTTACACCACTCACAAAACCTTACATAATTCAAAAAGAATTAAAAACTTAAATGTAAGATCTGAAACTGTAGAAGAAAGCAGGGAATCTTAGCAATAATTTTGTGGATAGTATCCACAAAGCACAGCAACAAAAGCAAAAATAAACAAGTGGGACCACATCAAACTAAAAAGCTTCTGTACAGCAAAAGAAACAATCAATAAAATGAAAAGGCAACCTACAGAATGGGAGGGAATATTTGCAAACCTCATAACTGATAAGAGGTTAAAAACATATAAGGAACTCAAATAACTCAATGGCAAAAAGCTACCCTAAAAAACAAAGAACCAACCAAACAAACAAACAAACAAAAAAACCCCTCAAATAATCCAATTAAAAAGGGGGCAAAGGACCTGAACAGACACATATTCCAAGGAAGATATTCAAGTAGCCAAGTACATGAAAAGATGCCTAACATCACTAATCATCAGGGAATGCAAATCAAACCATGAGATCTCGCCTCACTCCTGTTTAAATGGCCACTATCAAGAAGACAAGAGTTAGTGCTGATGAGAATGCGAAGAAAAGGGAACCCTTGTACACTCTTGGTGGGAATGTAAATTGGTACAGCCACTATGGAAAACGGTATGGAGGGTCCTCAAAAAATTAAAAATAGAGCTACCATGTGATCCAGCAATTCCACTTCTAGGAATGTTTCTGAAAGAAACAAAATCAGTATCTCGAAGAGATTTTTGCATCCCTATTTTCATTGCAGCATTATTCACAATAGCCAAGATACGGAAACAACCTAAGATGGATGAATGGATAAAGAAAATGTGAGATATATATATATATATAAAATTCAGCCACAAAAAAGAAGAAAATCCTGCCATTTGCAACAACATGAACCTTAAGGGCATTATGCTAAGTTAAGTAAGTCAGATAGAGAAAGACAAATACTGTATAATCTTACTTAAATGTGTAATCTAAAAAAACCCCAAACTCATAGAAGCAGAGAACAGGTTGGTGGTTGCCAGAGTCAGGGCCGGGGGTGGGGGTGGGGTTGTTAATGGGTGAAAGTAGTCAAAAGGCACAAGCTTCCAGTTATAAGATGAATAAGTTTTAGGGATGCAATGTATAGCATGAGGACTATAGTTAACAGTACTGCATGGTATATTTGAAAGATTTGAGAGATTTTAAAAGTTCTCCCCACACCAAAAAAAAAAAAAGTAACTCTTGTTAAGTGATGGATGTGTTAACTAAACTTACTGTAGTAATCATTTTGTAATACATACACATATAAAATCACTATGCTGTGCACCTTAAACATACACAATATTATATGCCAATTATATCTCATGAAATCTGGAAAAAAAGACAGTATTCTAACAAAGTATAACAAGGAGATGTAGAGTGGCCAGGTTGAGAAGGGGACTTTAGGTTGGGCGATGAGGAAAGGTAAGTTTCAAACAAAACAGTGAACCAATAAAATAAAGTTCCTGTTGGAAATGTGGTTGGAGTTACTTTAAAATATATATTTATATGAAAGGGATAATATAAAATCTTTATACATAACAATATGGTGTTTCTTTCCATTTAGACAGGATTTGTGTACACATCCTCTAGTAAAATAAAATGGTTTCTTTTTCATATCCGTCTAGTTTCTTTTTAATAACTTACACTCAATAGGCTTAATTCTGCTTAATATTTGTTGGTGTCTTTTGTCAGTGTTGTCTGCTTTTGATTATAAGCTTTTTAAAGGAGAGAATCAAAATGATTTCTATTGCTTTTGTTATGGTATGTTTCATGCAGAAGGATACCATTAGATAAGAACAACAAAAAGAATAAGAACACACTCAGCTTCCTATCTTTACACAGAGTTTATTCAAAAGGATTGTCTGAAAATATTGTGCAATGATTCATGCATTCAATTACTGTTTATTGAGCAACTGCTGTGCACCAGGTTTGCTTCTTGGGGCTGAAGATACAGGAGGGAACCAAACAGAAAACCTTCCTGTCTGCAGGGAGCTCACATTCCAGTAGGGGATGTGCAAGGCTGGAGTGAGCCTGGAGGAAAGGGGGCTGGGGCAGACAGAGAGCCCAGGAAAGGTGAGTGGAGGCTGAGAAAGAGGCGGGGCAGCAAGGCAGAAGACGAGCTTACACTGAGACTCACTCGGTAGCCTTGAAATACAACCTAGACTTTTTTTTAAGGATCACTCTGGCTTCTGGTTGGAGAATATACTACCAGAAGCAAGGCTGGAAGCAGGGAGACCAATAAAAGGTTATTACAACTGTTCAGGAGAGATATGATATGACTTGGGCTAAGGCAACAGAGTGAACGCTATGAGAAGGGGTCAGTCTGAAACTTTTTTAAAAGGTAGAACAAGTAAAATTTCTTGATAAATTGGACACGAGGTGTGACAGAAAGGTAAGAGTTAGGATGACTAATAGAGCACTTACTGATCTCCAATTTCCAGGTTTCGAAGATTTGGAATTACACATACAACTCAAATACTCCCCCGAGAATGCATTAATTTTCCACAGTGATTTTGAAGTTATTTAAAATTCTAATGGAGTCCCGGCGTCATAAGCGGGGGTAATTGTCAAAATATTTAATAACCGGCAAGGCTATTGACCAATCAGTACAGAAACCAGCCATTATGCTATAATGCGACCCTGATTTCCCGAAAATAAGACCTAGCCAGAAAATAAGCCGTAGCATGATTT